CTGTTTTTTAATATCTAATTTTGCATAGTGGGCATAACTGAGGCCAGCCTAATTTCTCTCTCTCTCTTTTTTAGTTTTTAAATAGATGCTTCTAGAACTATTTTTTATACTTGACATTACTCTATGTCTTTAGTAAATATCTAAAAGATGGTGTTTTTAGTTTTCTCTGAAATTTGGAGAACTATATAATGTTTTAATTAAAATATATATAATATTGTACAATATATTTAATAAACATATAATTAAAAATGTGTATACAATCTCATCCAGTAGTTTTTTCTTTTGTTTTTCTAGTTTCCTTGTAATGATGCTTCTTTTACAGTAGTCTGGTATCTTCTTTGAGTTCCATTATCTGTATATTAAACATCTAATGTGCGTCTCACATGGTGACACCCTCTTATTGATCATTTTCATTCCCTTGCTTTTCCCATCTAGCTGTAGGGAAAGCTTCAAAAGTCCCTCTTCTCACATCATAAATTAAATTGTCTGCATTTAAAGATCTGTCTGTGTTATTACATCTGAAGCTGTCTTAAATTCCTTGCTTTTAATACTGCTAGGTTTTCTTTCATCTTAGTCCTATTTCACTATAAAACAACAAAGGGCCTGCTTTTCTTGATGACTGTGAGCTGGAAAGTTCTTCCATGTAAAATGTACTTTAATATTCTCTGGCCAGTTCTCTTCAAAGTTATGTTATTCCTTTACCTCTTGAATATCTTTCTGAATGAATTTTTTCTTTTATATTGCAGTTTTTATCAATAGGTCCTGCTCTCCTTCTGGCTTTTTATTTTTTTTTTTTATTTAAGCATCCTTAAATGAGGGGCAGTCTGTCTTGCATTGGAATTACATATGACCATGGGACCCACATGCAGCCGAAACATGAAGATGCACTTGCTGGGGCTGATGACATTCCCAATAAGGGAGACCTATTGCTACAGGTGTCTTCTGTGAGGCAGGTGAAGCTGCAACCTGGGTCCTGGTGTCCTGTAAATGGTTACAGGGTTGGCCTGGACTGTTCACAGGACCCCATTGTGGCAGCTGTGTCAGACCTTTTGTGCACACCCACCCCCATCACTGCCTCTGTTAGGAGGAAAAACTGAAGCAAGACACTAACTTGTTAGAACTTCTGTGCAGTGACCAAATTCACTCATGCAATTTTTGTTGGCTGTCAGCACTGCAAATACTACCAGGTAAGGGAGCATCCTTGTGGTCCACTCCCTTTGCTCATACAAGTATCAGCATAATCCTTTAAAGGTGACAACTGTTTTCTATCAATCACACCATGCTGAGGGTTGCCAGATTTGGCAAATAAATATACAAGATGCCCAGTTACATTTAAATCTCAGAAAAAAGCACTAATTTTTAATATGTGTGGAATATCTCTGATTAGTGGAAATCAAAACGTAAGTGGGTTTCTGTGTTTTATCTGGCAGCATTAACTTTTCTGCATGAGGTATCTAAGTCCCATCAGAGTTCTCAGCAATTCTTGCAGTCCATGCATGCAGGTTGTAACTAATTTTCAGCATAGATGCAGATTTTTTTATTTATTACCATATTCTCTTAGTTGTTGCTTTTGGATTGGGCTGGAAATAGAGTTCTATGCTCAAATTGCCGTCTCCCTCGTGTTTTTAAAAAGTATTATTTAGGGAAAAATTATCTTTTCAAAAATGTTAAAATTAATATGAAATCTCTCCAAAACTACCGAGTTGCTTTAATCATGTGAACATGTCACTTTTCTTGAAATAAATGTTTACAGCTGTGGCACCCAAATAAAATGTAAATTTTTTTCTTCATGGGGTATTCACTGAGATTTGCTGTGCATAGTTTCTTTGTTATTTGGCACTCGGCTCATTTTTATGTGGAATAAAAATGGTATCCTCTGGTTACACGACCACCTCATGGGGATTGGAGAATAATGAGTTTTACTTCATTCATTCTGTGCATTGTGGAATAAAATTGGTACTTTTTAAAAGTATATATATATTTAAAAAAGAAGAAGAAACTGTAGCTTCAGGTCAGTATGGACCATTTTTAAACAGTAAACATTTGGGTCAGATACCAGGCAAGAAGACTATTAGGCCATTTGTGGTATAAAGCTACAAAGTTACTTCCCTTCAAATGATGTTCCTACTGACCCTTTGTGGCCTTCATGCTTCCCGGAATAAAGTCAGAAGACCCCAAACCATTGCCCTTGGAATGTGTAATTAGTTGCACAATTAGGTTTTGTGTTCTCAAGTGGCAGGGGTCAGATGCTCAGCTGGGAAGTTCACAGACCCTTGGTGTCTAGTGTTCATGTTTAACCATCTGTAATTTTATTTGGCCTTGGCAGTTTCTAGAGTGAATGTTGAGCCTGTATGAAGGTAGCTCAAGGTAGTTGTTCTGAGCAGTACCAAGGTGAGTTTTTAACTAGAGGGGCCCTGTGTAACTGATGTTGTTCTTTTTTTTTTAAGTTTCAGATTAATATGAGGGTACAAATGATTAGGTTACATTGTTTGCATTTGTTAGGTCAAGTCCAAGTTGTTGTTGAGCCTTTTATCAAGGAGGTGTGCTGTATACTCATACATTGTGTCTGTTAGGTGGTAGTTTACCACATCCTCCTACTTGAGTTTACTTCTCCCCCACTTGAGTTTCATTGTGTTCTTCTCTCTTGTGAGCATGTAGTTGTTCACCTGCTAGTTTCATATTAATATTGATATAGTTCTTCCAGGAATCTCCTTGCAGGGGGAAGACCCCGTCTTCTTCAGTTCTGCGTAACTGAGATTACACGGATCTCTGAAGGGGATAAAAGGATTGAAATTTCTGATTATAGTGAAGAAGATAGCAAATACAATCCTAATGTAAAAACTAATCTGCTTTCTGTCACATAAAAAGCATAATCCATGTGTTGATTCATTTGGCCACTTGTCTATTAAATATTTGTTGAGGGCCTGATCCCTGCAGGGTGGTCTTCTGAAGACTGTGATAATGATGGAGAGACAGGCCTGCAAGTCATCTCTGCCTGCTGGCACGTAACCCACTGGTGCATACTGGGAATTTCAGCAAAGTATAAAGCCCTTGGACTTCCTCTGTCACAGAACAAGTGCAAGGGAAAAACACAGGTGGAGAAGATAACACCTAGTCATGCAGTCAAGGAAATACTCTAGGAAAGTGACTTTGATAACTTATCTGGAGGGAGGATGAGAAGGTAACTGGGCACATGGGGTAGGGGCACCAGAGAAGGGATGAAGCCTAAAGCTTCAGCCTAGAACATGAGCAAAAAAAGTTGCTATCTACTCTTTTCCTTCACTGAAACTTAGACGTGAAGATACAAGTTTATAGAAAATAGAAACCGGGAGTGAGCTCCAAAAATTAAAATCATGTAGTCTTTAAGGAAAGGAATCTCTTGTTATATATAGGGTATTTTGATTTGTTATTAAAAAAAAATCCTTACTTATTAGGCTGAACTCTATGAAATTGGTCTTTGGGTTAGTGCAAACTGCGCACATATCAGCAGTTTCAAGAGGTTCAGCACAATTCAAGCCTCAGTTGTTACATTGGGGCTCGGCCTGGCCTGAGTTAATGCCATGAAATGCAGAGATAGTTTCACTGGGGACTGTTTGTTGTACAAACTCAAGATGAATGTACATGTCAAACTAGCTGCTTATGTAGAAATTAAATTGCATGCAGGCTGGCACCTTGCAGTGTCAGAGCTGGACTGGGGCTTCAGTTCTCTGCTCAGTCCCCTCCTTCCACAGATGAGCCCACAGGAAGCGAAGAGGGTCGATGACTTGCTTGTTACCTGACAAAAGCAGGAACGGGACCCCTGTCTTCAAATTCTTTGCTCTCTCTGCTGGTCACAGAACCTGCTGAGAGGGGTCCAGACTTAGGTAGGCGTTGTACTTTGGAAAATGTGTTCACGTGGGCCTTTGAAACAGGTGACACAACAAATGTCAGGATAATCAAAGATAATTACACGGCTACTGATGAGAAGGGCTTCAGCACAACTCGTAGAACTCTGCCTGGAAAGTCAGTGTTCCCAGAGCCAATAATTTCCTTTTCTAAAACTTCTTAAATTGGTCCTTTGGATTATGTAATTGCTCTGTGTTTTTCTTACAGAATGTAAGGAAACCTGTAAAAATAACATTTTGGATTTTCCCCCTAAGGGAGAGATTATGTTCAGTAAGAGAAAATTAAAAAAAAAAAAAAAAGGTTTTTGTTCGTTGGTGACAGTGTGGTTTCACAGGATGAGGATGTAATGGAAGTGGGCACTGCTCTTGATTTTTAGGTTCTAGGATCAAGTTTGCACAAGTGACTTGGGGCAGGTGCTTTATGTGGTTGGCCCTGGCACTCAGGGCCACGTCATCTCACCTATTTCCAGGGGGCTGTTCCCGACATACCCTTCCAGAGTCTTTTCCCTGCATCTCTCTGCTTAACTCCAGGGGGAGTGTACAATGTTTAAGTGAGTTACAATTGCTGATGCGGATTTATCTTTGCTCAGAGTCCTTATCCATTTACCCTTGGATGGTGTGTCCCTAGTGTATAGCCTGTATGTATGGGCAGAACGTGAAAGGTTGTTAGCCTAAGTTATTCCTGTTAGCAGCCTGCGTGGCCAACTGAATGGGAACGTGCCTCTCAATTGATTTTAGCGGGTTCTTAAAACCGAACACTTGCAAATCTCCTTTTTTAACAAAAAGAGGTTGAGTCTTAGGCATAACCCACCAAAGACACCATTATCACTTGCTGACATTTTAAAACATTATTTTGTTTGTATTTTATTTATTTGCATGCACGCCGTCTACATATGACAGGTGATACTGGTTCTCTGCTAACGTTAGTGGCATTAATTTCTACTAAAACAAATGTGTTTATTATGAAGCCAGTTGGTTTAAATAAGAAATAGTGGGTAGAGAATTGCATAGTCGGCAGGAAATGGGGGTGATCCATTATAGAGGGGGCAGGTAGATGTCCTGAAGACACTGGTGATGGCCCAGAGTTACTAATGCCTGCCCTCTGCTTCCCCACAGTGACGGAAAGTCGAGGGATCCTTGAGAGCGTCCAGAGGTTCTCCCTGCTGCCCACCTACCTCCCCGTGACCTACCACATCAACAACGCAGACGTCTCCTTCTTCCTGAAGGAGGCCAACCAGGACATCATGAGGAACTCCAGCCTGCAGTCCCGGGTGGAGTCCTTTCTGATCTACAAATCCAAGCGGCTGCCTGTTCTGAACGCCAGCTACGGGCCTTTCTCCATTGAGCAGGTGGTACCCCAGGACCTGATGCTCCCTTCCAACCCCTTTGGATTTACCAACAAATTTTCTCTGAACTGGAAACTGAAGGCCCACATCCTGCGGGACAAGATCTACATGAGCAGCCCCAAGGTGCAGGTCCTCTTCCACATCGTGGGCAGAGACTGGGACGACCACAGCACTGGGGAGAAGCTGCCCTGCCTCAGGGTCTTCGCTTTCCGAGAGACCAGAGAGGTGAGGGGCAGCTGCCGGCTGAAGGGGGAGCTGGGGCTGTGTGTGGCCGAGCTGGGGCTGCTGCCCAGCTGGTTCAGCCCCCCAACAGTGGTGGCTGGGAGGAAGAAGTTGGTGGAACAGCCGGAAGGGAGCCCCGTGGAGCTGTACTACACGGTGCATCCCGGGGATGAGAGAGGGAACTGCGTCAGGACGGACGCAAGGAGAGGCAGTGGGATTCGGATGGGCCACAATGACATCGATGAGTCTGGGCCCCCTCTGCACAGGATTGGGAGTGTCTTCCTTTACCAGACCCGCAGCCAGCCCTCCCTGAGGGAACTGCGTTTGGACAGCAACGTGGCCATTCATTACCTGCCAAAGACGGTGAGACAAGGAGACGTGCTGACTTTTCCTGTTTCCATCTCCAAAAATTCTACCGAAGATCACTTCACATTAAGGTGAGTTGGCTCAGAACAGCTGCCTGTACTTCTCAAAGAGGAGGGGTGCTTTCAAGAACCCGGTGATTTGGTCAGAACTGCTATGCCATCTCTTTCCAAAGCGGAGCCTTCCCATTTTTACACACTCCATCTTCTTTCCAAAATACGGAGAAACCAGTGTAATCTTGTGGGGTTGGAAATTGGGTGTGAACATATTGTAATTATTAGATTTTCCCAGGCCATCCAGGAGCTCCTGGGTGGGTGGGTGCGATTGTGATTTCATGTCTTCTGCCTTAGCTTAGGGTATTATCAGCAAGTTTTAAGAATGCTAAAAGTTACCCAACAGGAGCCATTTAGAATTGGATAGTTAAATGCCTCACAGTTGAAATGAGACTGCAAAGAGGATCGCAGCAGTTGTCAGAGAGGATAGAGAACGTGGTTTTGCCAACTCAAAAGCTATTCCAAATCTGTAAGCTCTAAGTATAATATGGTACCAACCTCAAAGTTATACATTTTGTTTCTCTCTGGAAATAGAACTTAGTGTTCAAGAAAATAAATGAGCATAACGTGTGAAGAATATACAGTAGAATTTGTTGAGTTTCTTATATAAGAGCATACCAAAGACAAGACATTTAAAATAACTACTGCGTCCTTTAGAATAAATATGGGCAGGTTTTCTTCTTGGAATGTAATGTAGGAGAGAAGCTCCTTGCCTTGGCTTGATTGTATTTTCATTACAGAGTTTTAGTTCTGTTTTGATTATAACAGCTAGTTAGTATACATGTTATTGGGTGATTAAAATTATCTTAATGTTGCTGCATACTTCAACAACTTGACCTGAAGTGCAATCTAAGAAAATGTGTGTTACAACTCCTGAAAACAGGAACGCTACTGTATGGAAGATCCTTTCTCTATCTGTGTGTTTAAAGTTCCTCCAAGAGCGAACCGTTCTCTCTTCCCCCTCAATCTGGGCTTCTGGCTGCTTTTTCTTTCTGTGTTTCTTGTTTTTTCTTTCCTTTTGTATTTGCAAAGGGTGATTGCGTTTAAGAAAATAAATCATGGCTAAGATTCTACTCTGTGCGTTTATGTTATGTTGATTAGGACCCAGTAGGAGGAATGCTTTTTCAGTTTTAACTACAGAAGTGAAACTAATGGACAATGTTAATCTAATGATGGAACTCAAGTAAGTGCTCCAAGGTAAAAACCTTTAGCTTGGGTTGACGTGCATGCAGGGATTAGCCACGGGGATTTAGGGCACAGAAACACATCTGTGGGGCTGAGCGCTCATTAGCTCTGCCTTCTGTTCCTCACTGGAAATCGGATCTAAACTCAGCTGGTCATAGGCCCTCTGTGTGGTCTGGTAGTTTTGTGTTTTGCTTTTCCAGGCTCAGCAGTTTGATATAATATTCTCTGTAGAGATGGTGGCTTATGCAGAGAGAGATTTTGCTCATGGAAACCCAAGGTTTTGAATAAGGGAAGCTACATTCTTACACCATTTTATCCGGTCCATCCTTTACGTTTGCCTAATACTGATTGTTGATTTCCTGGACCCAGGGTTTAAAACCAAAATCCTCCGCAGCTTTGACTGAGATCCACATTCTACTTTTTTGGGAAGCAGTTGTGTGTGTGGTATTGAATTTCACAAAAAGCTTTGTTATCCCACGATTATGACTATTTACTGCATGCTAAACATGTCCATTAGGGACCCGAGGGTGGCTTTTATCTTTGGCAATCTGTGACAAAAACAAGAGAAATTGACTTTGCCAGAGTTACACAATTTAAGGATCCAAACCTTTGCGAGTTCATTTGACACATCTAAATTGAGTGGCTCCACTTACAAGTCTTAGATTGGAAAATTGGGGGCATAAGGCAAAAGTATATTTGTTCAGAGCCCAGCAATTAAAATTTGTAAAAAAAAAAATCAGTTTTCCAGATAAGGCAATAGTAAAATAAATATTTCATGAATGATATCTTTAACTTGATAAGATGTTATACTCTCTGTTTCTTTAAGAGCTTGCATTAATAATGTGCTTCCTGCATGCTTAAAATGTTCTAATTACAAATGAATCTCATTCACTTATGAAAAAAGCTGAAGGTAAACTAGGACCTGGCAATATTAATATTAGGCTTTAGTTTGAATTCCCATAATTAGAAAATAATAAAACTGTATATCTTTTTAAATGAAGTCAATTGGACACTAATTTAGCTCAGCTTCCAAATATTTAGAATTAGCATGCGTCTGTTCTGTCTGGCCATCTGCTATAAATAACCCTGAGGGGTCTAGCCAAATATCCTTGGGTGCTCTTCCCTGAATTGTGACTTTTGTTTCTACATGCTCTGTGTTGACAGTGCTAACACAGGCCAGAAGTGGGCTCATCTTTTATAGGTCAAGTACCAGTAGGACATCCATTGTCACTGAATGGGATAACCAGGAGGGATCCCATCCAGATTTGTAAACTATAGAGAGAAGCATCAGCTACAGTTTGAATTCTTTGTTGATGATGACTGGCCACCCCCGCACACCTCTCCAGTTATTTGTGTGCCCGTGATTGCAGAGTGATGTGTGTGTGTGTATTTTACACGTTGAGAACAAGAAAACTCATGTTCAGCTATTTGTCATCTTACAAAGTCTGCTCTACCTTACTTTTGATTTCTTTCAAAGCTGACATCTTCAGAAAAGGAAAAGCAAATGCTTTCATTCTTTAGACACCTAAGGATCCCTTTTAATTTCAGAAAGTGTTTTTCTTCAAGTGAACATCTGAAGCATCCCTCAGCATTTGAGTCCGTTCTTCCATATTCTTCTTCCCACACCTTCTTCTAGCTTCTGTCCCTCCCCCAGGGAGAGGGCCATTCACAAGCATCCTGGTCTCTAAATGACTGAACCATGAGTCTGGAAGAGGATGAGAAATGGGGCTCTTTCTTTCACATCTTCACCAGCCACTCTCCAGCTTCTCTTCCCCATGGCAAATCAGTTTCAAAGGAGCTCTGGTCCTCAGCTCTGAACGGGAGTCTCCAGCCAAATGTTTGTGCGGCATCAGCTTGGTGACCTCACAGCCCAGAGAGATCAGGTGGAGGGCGTAGAACAGTGGGACAAAACTCAGAAGAGTAAACGCTTTTCTTAAGTTCAGGGGTATTCTTAAATTTGTTCAATGAATGAACAAACTGTTGATTGTTAATCAGTACATATACTTTGCTGAGCATTTGCAGTTTTAAATGCTCAAGAATTTGTTAAGCACCATATACTTTCCATTGGGTTTTAGACCCACCCAGGGTAGGACATTGACTTCCAGGTGATTTGCTTGCCAAGATGAGAAGTACAAGGGAGAAAGCAAGAAAGTAAAACAAGAATGTTTGACAAGGAACAAGAGTGAATGTGGGATAGATAACACACAAAGGACCTGGGACCTTAGTGATCTGGGAAGCCTACTTTGCAGAAGATTTTAAGTTTGTTAGGAAATGATGTGGTGATTTGAGACTAGGCCTCAGTTTAAGTCACTTCAATGACATGATCTTTGAACCTGCCATGGCCCAGAAGAGGAACTCTCCTTATTCTGTTTCTGGTGTGTTCAACTATGTTCTGTGCTGCACACACCGTAAATCTCATTCTGGCTGATTTAAGTGAAAAATAATGAATAAAATGGTTATTTGATGGACATCCTGGGTCTCAGGAGTTAGTAAGAGACCAGGGGCCTGGCTCAGTGATGCAGAGTCTGAGGGAGGGTGGATGCTTGGTGTCGACACAGCAGACCTGCAGCACCCAAGCAAACCCCTTCCACAGTTTCCCCTGTTCTTTTTACACTCACATAAGATGTGACCATCTCCAGGAAGCTCCCACTGTCTCACAAATCTTCTAGTTCCTTTAAGAACACATGCTTCTGGACGGGGCATTTCCCTGTCGTGGAGAATTAGGAGCTGTTGTAAAGAGGATAGATATTGGTTTCTCCAAATCCCACCTGTGTCGTGACAGCTGGTCGGTGCCCACCTTTGTCACCTAGTGGGGATTGGAGGACTTACTTCAAGTGGGAAAGGAGTGAGAGTCAGGCAGACTTTCTATTTCAGAATAGATTTACAAAGAAGCCGTGATGTCAGTGCAGAGTGTCCTCATGTGCCCCACAGCTAGCTTTCCCTTGTATGGCACATCTGCCATCATTAATGCACCAGTGTTGAGACGTTATTAGCTAATGTTCATACTTCAGCCTCCCTTGGTTTTCACCTGAGGTCCTGGTGCTGTTCTGGGACTCCGTCCAGGAACTGCCTTATGTTTAGTTCTCACTCTACTCCTCTTGCTGTGGCTACGTCTTAGACTTCCTTTGGTTTTGGTGACCTTGACAGTCTTCAGAGCTCCTGTGTTTACTGACTTGTGGGATTTCCTTTAGCTTGTATTTGCCTGATATAAGTTCTCATAATTAGGTTAGGGTAACAGGTTTGGGGCAGGGGAACCACAGAGGTACAGTGCCATTTTCATGACATCATTCCAAGGCTATGTATAGCCCACATGACATCTGTGTTGGTGTTAACTTGGTGCCACTGGCTGGGGTCATGCTTGTTGGGTTTGTTCACTGTAAAGTTAATTTTCTCCCCTGCTTCCCCACAGGGTAGTCTTTGGAAGGGGAGAGAAATGACATTCCATCTCCTTGAGGGTAATACATCTCTATAAATTATTTGAATTTCCATGGGTGACATCTGTTCATTTTCACTTATTTATTTATTTATTTATTTAATAATGTAATTATTATAGTGAGGGGTCCTGGATGTTCATTGTATACTTGGATTATAATCTAATTTTATTTTGTTTTGTTGCTCAAATTTCTCCACTTTGGCTTTGGAGCACTGTTTCATGTGGCCCAAGTACGGAAGTGGTATAGAAACGGAAGTGGTGGGAAAGGCTGTCTTGGCTTATCCCTGATCTAGAGTTGGCTGTTGAATTACTTGCTATCTTATTCTGTTTTTTTTTTTAATTTTTGAATTATAAATTGGCAGATAATCATTGCATATATTTATACTAAATATATACAACCATC